AAGCAAACACAATCACAGCCAAATCTTGAAAGCAAACACAATCATAGCCAACTCCAAATCATGAGTAGGGTATTTCTCCTCATGAGGCTTCAATTGCCTCGAAGCAAAAGCAACAGCTCTACCAGACTACATCAACACACAGCCCAGCCCATTTCCAGAAGCATCACAGTAAAGCTCAAACTGCTCCTCAGGATCAGGAAGGACTAACACAGGTGAAGTAGTCAATCTCTCCTTCAACTCCTGAAAGCACGCCTCACACTCGTGAGTCCACACAAATGGAGTCTCCTTTCGGGTAAGGCGAGTCAAAGGGAGAACCATCGTGGAGAAACCCTTGATGAACCTCCGATAGTAACCTGTCAAACCTAAGAAGCTCCTCACCTCCGTAACTGTCTCGGGCCTATCCCAATCCAACACGGCCTCAATCTTGTTGGGATCCACTGCAACTCCATCCGCTGAAATCACATGCCCCAGAAACTTGACTGATTTGAGCCAAAACTCACACTTAGAAGGCTTATCATAAAGCTTTTTCTCCTTCAGCACTTGCAGAACAATCCTCAGATGCTTCGCATGCTCCTCCTCAGTCTTGGAGTAAATCAGAATGTCATCAATAAAGACAATCACAAATTGATCCAGATACGGCTGGAAAATCCTGTTCATGTAATCCATGAACACTGCCGGCGCATTGGTGAGTCCAAACGGGATCACCAAATACTCAAAGTGACCGTATCTCGAACGAAACGCGATCTTAGGGACGTCCTCCGGCTTCACCCGAATCTGATGGTATCCGGACCGGAGATCAATCTTGGAATACACACAAGCGTCCCTGAGCTGATCCAACAGATCATCAATCCGAGGAAAGGAATACTTCTTCTTGATCGTCACCTTATTCAACTGCCGGTAGTCGGTGCACAATCGCATTGTCCCGTCCTTCTTCTTCACAAAGATGACCGGTGCTCCCCAAGGAGACACACTCGGCCGGATGAAATCTTTCGCTGAAAGATCCTCAATACGCTTCTTCAGCTCAGCCAACTCTGGTGGCGACATCCGATATAGAGCTAAAGAAATAGGCCCCACACCAGGCAACAAATCAATGGAGAACTCTATCTCCCGCTGTGGCGGAAACTCAGGAATCTCCTCAGGAAACACCTCGAGGAACTCCCCCACCACAGGAATGCCAGTGATATCCTCCTGTGTCCCACTCACCAAACCTCCCAACATGACATAACCAAATGCCCCTGCTCTCAAGGCCTTCCTAGCCTGCAGCAACGAAATATACGGCGAGGAACTAGCTGTGGAATCACACGGAGACATCACCACGCGCTTTGCACAACAATCAATCAGTGCACAGTTTCTAGACAACCAATCCATGCCCAGAATAATCTCCAAGTTGGCCATCGGCAATCCTATCAGATTCACCGAGAACTCACGGCTGTCCCACTGAAATGCTACATCGCGGTGAACAGTGATAGAATCACATATTTTTCGGTGGCGGTAGTCACCCGCAACGGTGGAGAAAGCACAAACATGGGCAACTCAAGCCCCAAAGCTTTGGATGAACATTTCTTCCTCTTGGGCAGCCCATTCTTCCTTTTCCGCCATAATTTCATCACTACGGCCAAAGTTTGAGGGCAGGTGGACCTCCCTTGACCGTTGAGATTCCCCCCACTCATATTTCTGAAGAGCTTGAGTTAGAGGAACGGTAAAAAGTAAACAATCACATGCGAAGGAAGAAAAATTCATACGAAAAGCAAGCAAGCATTCCAGTGGTGAATGATCAGATAAGTAAACATGCATAGCAGGAAAACAAGCATAGCTGACCAAACCAGAACATCATGGGTTGAAGTGAAATGGGGAGCAAGGTAGCGTAGAAGAACGTACCTTAAAAAAAGGAAAGGGTTGAAGATTTTGGATTGCAAGAGATTCTGAGAAATTCGCAAACTGAAATCCTCCAAGGCAATGCAGTCCAGGAAAGTACAAGTGGTGAATAAACGAGGAAAAGAAATCAAATAAGCATAACCCGCGAAACCAAGGGTTAGGGGCGAAAGGGTAACTTCGCCAGATGAGATAGTTGAAAGAACACCCTGACAGTTGCAATAAATGCAAGTGGCACGAACAGACATAGTGGCACACATTGTTGGGGTGCAGGAAGGCCACGTGGAGGGCCGTTATGATTACCTGAAAAGAAGAATTACCCTTTTAGAAGAAGAATCGTCATGGGTTTAGGATAGGATTTGCAATCCCGACGCTTCGACCGTGCTCTATCAGCCGGGGTACTCTCCGGGTGATTATCCGAGATCTTCTGCTGCGCCATGATCTCGAACCGGGAGTTATCAAGACAAGCTAAAATCGATGATAGTTGGCCACTGTCCGATGTAACATAACGAGTGCCATGTAAACCCAGCTTTACACCCCGGCATCCTGAATTCTGCTTAGTCTACTCGGCTGAGGGGCAACTGTTATGGACCAGAGGAAGGCCCATAATCGCAGCTAGCCCAGACCGCGCAAGACCACAGGTAAGCACTATAAATAGGAACTAAAGACCACAGGTATGACTGATATCTCTTACCTTATTTTTATGCAATCACAACAGTGCACACACATACCCCTTAGGCTGAGGCCGTCAAATAGTGTGCAATGATTTGTTGTCTCCAAGGTACCTAATTCATAGGTATCTAGAGAGAAACACTCTAATCCAAGATCAATCCTCCAATCTCAATTGGACACATCTGCCTCAGGCAGAACATGAGCAAAGTTCAATATCATGAATCATTCGTTTCTTCAGTATAGACAAACACCACATATCGAAAAACCCATTTGATCTTCTCTGCTTTGGTAATCAAATTGGATCTTCACCATCGAAAATGGGCATTTCCACCTTCTTAGTCCAACATCGATCTTCTAGTGCACTGGCTGAATTTCCTTCGCCTTCTTTCTGCCTTTATGGTGACGAACCTGATAAATCTGGATTTGAATTCTCTGCTATTTTTACAGAGCAAATCGATTTGTCTGAGAAAGCAAAGCTAGGACAGGGTATTTTTGTCTTGTTCATTTTCCCACCGTCTTGTATTTCTAAAATACCATATGTTGGATGGTATTCTGTTTTGGAAATTTTGTGTGTAAATCACAATCCTGGCAATATAATTTTCCTAGAAATTTTTTCATTTCTCCTTGTATCAAATATGGGAAAATAATATTTCTAGAGTAACTTTTCTGGGAAAATAAAATTTCCCCATATATCAAACGCCCTGATTTTTGTTACACAAGTTCTTCGGACTTCGGAGTTCCAATTATTTTTGTTCGTTATCTTTTTTATATGCTATGAAGTTCATTATTTTATTTTTTTAAAAAAATAAGTTTTGTTGCACTTTTATCCCAAAATTAATGTATGTTGAATTTTAATCCCTTTATTTATTTTTTTCAATTAATTCCTCCAATTTTTTTATTAAACAAATCAAGTCCTTCCAACATCCAACTAATAAATATAGAAGCTGATATAGCATGCATGTCTTTAACCCGGTCAGATCATGCATATTTTTTTTTAAAAAAATTAAAGTGAAACAACGTTGTTTTTTAAGCAAGAACAAATCCAAAATCTTTAAGTTATAATACACTATTTTAAATTGACAAATACACATAAGAATCACACAAAATACAAAACACAATTAAACATTAAAGTTAAGAATAATAAAATTGAAATGAAAATAAAAACCCTAAGTAAGTTGGATTGAAATTTGAAAACATAAAAGACAAGGGGGAGAGCTAGAAAATTGACAAGTGATATAATTTTTTTTTATTTTTAATATTGACCCAATGGAGAATTCTTTTTTTTTTTTTTCCACAATTAGGGAGGGCCTAAGCTCAAAAAAATGAAATATAAAGATACAAAAAATCTATAGTTATGAAAAGCAAATAAATCTTCATCCAGTAATCCGATCATTTGATGAGGAGGCTAGTTGAAGATGATATTATCATCTTCAATGCCAAGATCTTGTTTCACAAACCAATCATTGAATTTGTTGTTTGACATAATTTTAGGATAATTCTGGATAGACATAATTATGCATTTTATTAGACAACATAGAAGTTACTATAAAAAAAAATTAAATATAAAATATAAATTTATATACATCTATCATGTGGTTCAATCAGTGACTCACTGATCCGATATTCCGACCAAATCGATGATCGGTTCGGATTTAATATCATAGACAGTTTAATTAAAACTTGAAATGTGGGATTAAAGGATTATCTCATGTGCTGTCTACGTGAGAAATCCTTCTCCAAACCTATTGTGATTTCCCCAAATTGAACAGGGAACAACATTGCACTGCAACAAAGGTAGAGGCACCATAGTTGGAAGAAAACGTAAAAGAATTGATGGATCCAAACTCACGAGAAGTGCCCACACTGAAAAACATCGGTGCAAGAATGACCTTTGTGCCCATTGATCCCATGCTTTTGGGAGGCACAAAATTCTTAATAAGAGTTTTGGCACGTAAATTAGGATCATATTGCAAAATGATCATGTAAGATACCAAAACTGACAAAAGTGAATAAAGTGGCATCAAACAAAAATTATGGAACCCAAGAAGTTTATTAAGCAGCACAAAAATTGTATTAAAGAATAAAGAAAAGGCATACAAGGACCCAACTTATGACCCAAAATTTTTTGTTATCTGAAGGCTCGTTGAGAACATGACACTAACGGTGGTTCTCATTTCTCAAGTTTATTATCGAGTGGAAAAAACTTTTCTTAGGTTGTAGAAAAATAATTACCTCAATGTTATAAAAATAAAATTATAAGTGAAACCCACGTATAAAAGAAGAGAAAAAAAAAGTGGTGGAACCCACCCCTCTTTTATGTGTGTAAGAAAATTGTTTCTTTCGTGTAAAATGAGATAAATATAACCCTTGTCGAGTAGCAATATATACTATATAGAATCCAAAAATAATAAATTAAACAAGCGGTAGAAAAGGTACTTCTCAAATTTCTTTCCGGGATATCAAAATATATTATGAGAAGAAATGAACCTCTGGATGAATTGCAGTCACGATCCTTAACAACATAATACACATAGATACTGGATATTAGGTCGGGGATGTGAGAAGAGGATACAGATCATAGAGACGGATATGGTCATTGATCATCAGTTCATTCAGGAGTACATCATTAACAAAAATGCCTAACACATCAAAAACAATAATGAATCTTCGCAAGGGGCTCACTAATTTCCACCTCTGACTTCGATTTTTAGTTTGTCCACTACATCAGCCATCAAGTAACAAAGTTTGGCTTCAGCAGTTAAAGAACTAACCACCCCTTCGATTAATCTCAGTTCCTCATGAAACTGTGAATGTAACACCAATGAAGAAAAATTCTCATCAAGCACCAAACCAAGACATTTTACAACATCTTCAAATTTAGGAACCCAATCGCAAGCCTTCAAACCCAAAACTGATTTGGCTTTTGGACACGGAACCGCTTGAGGAAACCTCTCATATTTCTTCAACCACTTTGATAAATAGCGAATCAAATTTATCAACTCTTGGCCGCTCAACTTAGTGAATGAAGAGGATAACATCACATCATTGATGTTTGACGATGCAATCAGATAATGCAAACAAAGCTCAGATGCAGAGAAACCATCATACGCTATCATAAGCAAAATGGAAGCCTCCTTTGCCAGAAGCAAATTCTTCCACTTGAGGTTGCTATCACTTACTTTCTCAATGGCTAACATTGCTTGGTTCTCCCACTCCTCCTTCACAGTTACCATACTGCTATAAGCATCTTTGGATGGAGAAAGAAAACACCTCAAAATGCTGAGTATTTCAGATGAACCAAGATCAAAAGCATGCTTAATACATAAACAGAGCAAATCAGACCGCTTCTTTTCCACTAACCTGGTAACCAGGTTTGAATAACAAGAATGCCCAATAATACCATTAACAATCAAAGCCTCAACAACTTCCCAAATCTCCAAAGAAACACACCCATCCAAAACCAGGCCAGCAACATCTTTACCCATGAAAGATCCAAGTTTGTCAATCAAGAACCTGCTGTAACCACTACTAGATGAATCAATCCCAATTAAAACCCCAACTTTATCACTGATGTTTTCTAGATAGGTATTCAAATCATCAATAAATTCACCCTTTCCCAAATCTTTAATGTTGTAGAGCTTCAACTTTAGCAGTGTAAAGAACTTTTTGCTAATGTCAATGATTTCAGTATCAGTTTGTGAAATTTGCCATCCAATAAGGGGCTTTATGAGAGACGAGGAAGATTCCTCCTTAAGTTCGGACTCCAAATTAGGTATGATACTATCTGAATTCAGAACAATAGGATAGTCTGAAGGCAAATCAAGTGATTTTGAATTGACAGAAGCATCCTTGATGAGTTCAAGTAAAGTCATGATTGAAATTTCAAGAAAGAAATCTGCAACGCAAGCAGAAAAATAAACCTCAAATTAACAAAAACACTCACGTGAAAGAGAATATATCAGAACCTCAAATTATCTGCGAACCAAGATTATTATAAACCTCAAATAAGAACAGTTTCTCATTGAACTAATATAAGTGACGAGCTCATAACAAAAAAAAAACACAACTTAAAACCAATTATAGAAAATACTTAGAGAATACAACAATAAGAAAATCATCAGTTGTACCTGTAGTGGATGCAGCGTGATGGTGTCGTCGGCAGCGGCGGCTAAGGCTAGGTGGGTGAGAAATAAGAAGCGAAACCGAAAGTGATAGCCGCGATGGTGTCGCCGGCGGCTAGGGTTTGGTTTGTGAGAAATAAAGAACGAAAGTGGGGGTGATAGAAACTATTTTACACCTCTGCATGTATAAGTGGCGGTGGGGTTTATGGTTCCTCTCATCGAGCCAGGGATTGAAGAGTATATAAATGCTTAAAAAATAAAAAAGGAGAGTATATAAATGGGGGATTTAATGTTTATAATAATTAGATTGAAAAGTTAAAAAAATTACAATAATTTAAAAATAAATTATAATTATAAAATATCTTGAATTTTGCTCTAAAATGACGTTATTTTGAAGTTAATATAAATAATTTATTTACATTATAAATAACTTAATTACATTAACTATTAATTGCAGAAAAATAAATTCACGCGGAATATTACGTGGAAAAGAGAGAAAAAAAATATCTTTTTTTATTTTTTATTTTATTTTTTTAATAATTCTTTAAAAAAAAGATACTGATTACAAAAAAAAAGTTAGAGTTCATTTACAAGTTAATAATACTTTTTTAGATTTGAGGGGGAAAATGTAAGGATAATCAACATAAGGAAATTTTAATAATATAATTTTTTATTGTTAGTGAAAAAAAAAATGTTATAAAAAAAAGAAAAAAAAAAAAGTATCCAAATAAGACAGAGTCAATATTCTACCCAAAAAAAAAAACACGGGAGTACGACATAATTTAGTATTCATTCATTGAATATATTAAAGTAAGCTTTTCAAAATTATTTCTTGACTGGTAATTTCAAATGATACTTCAAGTTATATAATTACATGAATGTCCGTGGAAAGTAGAGGTGGCAAAGCGGCCTGCCCGCCCCGCACCTGCCCGCTAAAAGCCCGTCAAAAAGCGGGCTGACCCGCCCCGCCCCGCCATTGAAGGTGGGCTAGATATCTCTGTCCGCCTAGCCCGTCACATTTTACACTAAAAATTAAAAAAAAAAAAAAAATCAGCCCGGGCGGGCTGGCAGGGCGAGCTTGGCGGGTTTAGAAAACTCAGCCGCCCCGCCCCGTTTGGCGGGCGGGGCGGGCTCGGTCCATTTTGCCAGCTCTACTGGAAAGTAATATTTTATTTATTTATTTAGGAATAACTTTTGAAAGAAAAACATTTTTAATAACCCAATTTATTTTTTTTGTAAAAATAAGGGGTAAGCCCCCACACAAACAAAAACATACTAAAAAACAGTGACTCGGTGCGGCCTGTTGATAAATGCTAGGTCTGCGTTAAATAGAAAACTAATCTAGTAGGGGGGGAATCAAAATGACAAAGGTTTTCCAACTTCATATGATCCAGCACGAAATTTAAGAGCCAGTCCAGACAATACTTCCCTTCCCTGTAAGTATGAGCTAGCTAAATGTTTCAACCCAACTGTGTAGAAACGTTTGTAATCAACCGATAGAAATTTAATTCCAACCATTCCTTTTAACTCTTGTGAGGTTACTGTGCTCCTTTGTTATGTACATGTATTGTTTTCTAAAATGATAGCATCCATTAATAATAATATAAATATTTCTGAGATGCAATAAAGTTGTACACGCATATTTTTGGCATATAATAACATCCAGTAATTAAATTTAGACCAGATATAATACAACTACAGGGAGGCATTTAGAATTGGACTCACATGTAGTCCATTATAATAGAGCAAAGCAACTAACCAAGACAAATTCAATTTATGGAAAACACATAAAGCAAATATCAAGAAGGCTTCAAACCAAACAACTGAATAACATTATCCCATTAACTCATAGCAGGAGTGTGTTTCTTTTTTACCTTATTTAGAACAGATGAAGGTTTTGGTACTAGTGATTAGAAGATAAAAAATTGTCCTAATCCAAGAGGCCAAGACCCATTAACGTGTTTTTGCTCCAAAATTAATCGCAAGTGAACATATTTTCCTAGAAAAAAAGAACGAACAGTCAAGTGAATCTCAAGTATGCAGTACTCTGCAGTCAGAGCAACTCTCAATTTCCAATGGTACTAGACATAGCATCTAACCCAATCTCAAGTAAGCAATACTCTGCATCAACTAACTAGAAGCATCAAGCGATAACACCCAACGGAACCAATGACTAAACCGGCAGCAACAACCTGCGAGACCAGCTGCAACGACATGTATGCAGTTGCGTAACCACATTGGAACCAGCAAGTGTCTTGATGCACCGGTTTTGCTAAAAACTGGTTGAGTCAAACCGATTTTTATTGAATTAATCTATTACATGACTCGAACCGATTATATCACTGGTTCACCGAATTTTGGGTCAAACCAATTGGTTCGAGGTTTGATAACATTGAATGAAACAAATGTACACATCGGCATTCCCTCCTACAATTTACACTTGCACGCGCTTAACTCTCATGCAAACAGCATTTCTGGTGCACAAGGAGTTTAGCTTTAGAGGGTCTGAAACCACAATATGCTTGCTCCTTGCAACACAAAATCTACCAAGTATGTTCCTGGTCACCATATCACCTTCACATGAGAAATTCTTAGCAAAACGGAAGCATCAAATTTTATTTTAAGAAAATTCTCAAATGGTGTTGTCCACCGTTCAGCAAACTTGCATGCTATTAACATGGCCAATAGATAGCTTCTTAGCCTCGCTGAAATTTTGCAGTTTCATATTTGTACTAGAAGTTATCCATTGTGACGCAATGGTATCCTCCTATACCCAGCCGTTGTTGAGATATATAGTCTCACATTGATTAGATGGACAACTAATATGGTTTTTATAAGGCCTTGGGCACTCCCACCCTTTGAGCTAGCTTTTGAGGTGGTGTATCCCAAGATTATTTACATGGTATCAGAGCTTGAGTTGACTATAAGGTCACAAGTTCGATTCTCACGACCCCCGCTTTAGAGTGGAATTAAAAATAAAAATAAAAGCACAAAAGGTAAACCAAAAATGGGCCTGTGCAATTTCCACGCTTCTTGCCTAAAGGGCTCTTGCGTAAGGGGGCGTGTTGAGATATATAGTCCCACATTGATTGGATGAGCAACTAATATGACCTTTATAAGGCCTTGGACACTCTCACCCTTTGAGCTAGCTTTTGGAGTGGTGTATCCCAAAATTCTTAACAGCCGTGGAAGACTTTTTCTCTTTTAATATGTCACAGTCAAACCATATATCATATTGCACCTCTTCTGCTCCGTCCACTCCCCACCCGTTGCCCCCTATCTAGCAACTGATCCATACACCAACTGATGCTTTAATGCATGCACATTTGGCAAAGGGGTCAAATGTTCACCGTATACCACAAAACACCTTGGCTTCGGGACATGGGGATTCCACAACTTTTTCCACCAATGGGCATGAGAATTGAGCCAACTGTGTTTGTTATGTTGCACCTGACCGGTGAATATGTTATTTTAATTGAATAGAAGAATTTCAATACATTATGCATGATCTCTTCCTCGGGAATATTCCAAGTCCATCATAAGAATAAAATGGAGAGTCCTCATGAAATTACTGCGAGTTGAATATCTTGTAAATAACCTCTGTTAAAAATGAGTTAACAGACCTGGAGATGTGATATCTTAATTTAGAGTTCAAGAAGGCAAAATTCAGGTATGAGAATTAGTAAATATCTCTTTAGTGATATAATATCAATACAATATAAATCAACTTTCCCACTAAAAGTGAATGATATAATAGATTATATGCATATAATACAAAATAAAACAGCTTCCCCACTATAAATAAATAACAGAGTAAATGAAACAACTCTAATTAATATTAAATCTGGCAAGTGAAAAGATAATTTAAACTACATATTTTTAAAGATGATATACCCAATGCTTATTTAAAAATAAACTCATCAGTAATATCATGATAGTAATAAAAAGAAAACATATTTGGTCTAAATTTCATGTTAAATTCCTCATCAGTAATATCATGATAGTAATAAAAAGAAAACATATTTGGTCTAAATTTCATGTTAAATTCCTTAAACTCATGCATCATCCTTTTATATTTTTTTTTGGGTAGTAATCATCCTTTTAGACTTAAGTCATAATCATCCATAAACTTCAAATTGAAACTGTACAAAAGGAGAACTAATTTAATTTTCTAAATTAGTTAGATATACATTAGCAATCTTTTGTTGGTCTAGCATTAATAAATTTTGTTCCTTTTATCACTTGAAAATAACATCCAGGGAAAATTGACTACACCATATATATTAGTAAAAAAAAAAGCTAATCAACATTCATAATTTCCCTGAATTTATTCTAAAATCTAAAAACATGTCTTGGGAGGTGTTGTGACATGACCTCTTTTACTGCCTCAGTAATACATACTGTCTCACCATCTACATCTCTAAACTCATTGTCGTTGACTAGACTTTTTAAGTTGATGGAGGAATTTCCCAATGCTTTGGCACAGGCCCAACATCATAGATAATTTCTCTGTGGCAAGACCATACAAGTTTTATTGCCTCTGGTGTTCCAATTCCTGCACCCCTAGGGTCCCCAGCAGGTCCAAACCTGCACATTATTGTTTTTGACAATTAAAAACCTCAATTTCTGGTTACATATAGATAAAACATACTAAAAAAAATCAATTTACCAATGATTCTGTGGAGCTCCAGTTGTCCTTGCTCTTAGACCAGCATAAGTAGTACCATTAACTGTGTTGCCAATGACTTCCTGCAAATTTATGTTTGACCATAAATAACCACGACATATTGAGAACCACCACAAAACTTAAAGCAGAATTATAATAAATATTTCAGAATATAACTCATCTATTTATATGATACACAAACCATTAGCATGTTGGATACAAGAGAAATTTCAGATATCTAAATTTTGGAGGAGTTGAATTCAACTACCACAAAAATCTTGCAGGCAATTGATCTTTGATCTTATACGTAAAATAAACCTGTAGACGCGCAATATTAATCTAGATTCTAACTCCTTAAACAGCTATAATTTTGTTCCATGGATGAAATATGAAAACACAATATGATTCATTAATAATTAAGACCAAAGTGTACAACAAGAAAAACTGATAATAGTCATACTAACATTGAGAGTTAAAAATTGATAAACTGCACCATACCACATGCACCCATATCCAGTAAAGTTTGAGTCATAAAAATCTTGCCTGTAAAAAGAGAGGATCATTTGAAACTACAGCAGCAGTTAAATGCGCATGCAATCTTTCCAAAGCATCCAACACAATTGATAGTTGACTGCTTTTGTAGTCAGTAATAACCTGGAAATACACATAAATACAAATTATGTATCTTATAAAAAGAGCATACTGAAATTATATTAAAAAAAAATTATTTATAAGTTTTATTTCCATGTTCCAAGTCTCCATTTCCATACCTGAAAAGGTCCGAAAATTTCTTTAGTCACAAGTTCAAAATTCTTATCCTTCATAATTTCCTCAAGAGGAACATAAATGGCAGTGGGTTTAATAGCACCATAAATCGATGGAATTGAATGGTCCTCCAGAGGCTGACCGCCAAAGAGCAGCTTTGATCCAGGTATCTCAAGTAATTTATTCATGTGTTCTAGCATTGAATCGGTGGTAAACTGCAACATATGAAAGGGAAAAAAAATCTCATAGAACCAAACTCCATTATATACAAAAAGTAAATAATTATTATGTTGAAGATACACCACCAAATTAAGCACTAAATAAAATAATGTAACATTCTGATTGGTTCAGGAACAAATGGTTTATCAAAAAATCACTCTATTTTTTGAATATATAAGAGTTCACATTCCACCCAAAAACGTCAAAGAAATAGTGCACAACCTATATGCTAAGGCACAAACTTGAAATTTGACCCATCGTCCCAGCATTATCAATAATTAAATAATATAAATAAATTAACAGAAATCAATGTCCAAACTTCTACAGGTCTGTTAATCAATTTACAACGGATTGATCTAATCAATTGTGATAGTGGACTACATTTGGTATTTATCTTGAAAGCAGTGACTTGTCTCCCGCACTCCAAAAACCCCCCTTCATTATCTATTACACAAAGTATGGATACCTTGTCAACAGTAAAAGGGATGACCCCCTTCTTTATCTATTACACAAAGCATGGATACCTTGTCAACCATAAAAGGGATGATTATTAATACTATTGCGTATAACTTAATCGCAATTAACACTACAATCCAGTCATATCTTTAAAAAAGACAATCAAGTAGTTTTGACTTTCATCACCTTATGGAGAAGAATGCCACAAACTTCAAGGGGGCCATCAAAACAGTTTCAAATATTAAAACCTAGTTCAATAGACTAAAAGGGGGAAAACAGACAATTAATACAATACTTACAGTGAGTACTGGGCCAACTGTCAAGTCCTCTAGCTTTCTTCTGTCAGCAAGATCTTTCAACTTAGATATCAAGGAAGTATTAGACCAGTTCTGAACAAGAGAAGTTGAAACTGAGTTAAAAGACACAAGACATAAGGTAAATCAAAGTTACAACTTCACCCTAGTTCTTGAGAACATTCAACCATGAACAAAGTCCTCAAAATAACAAGAGTGACCGACCTCATGCATAAATACCAATGACTGTGCTGAGCACTTCTGACCACTGCATGCGTATGCATCCTGGTCACATACCCATGCAACGTAATCTTCCTGCAACCAAGAAACAATAGAGAAACTATTATAAAACTCAAAATAATTCTGTGCCATACTGAAATCCACAAAAAAAATTGTACGAAACCTGATGGACATCAGGACCCAGTATTTTCCAGTCAAATCCAGCATCTTCCAATTTAACACGGCCACTCAAATCAACTGCCAACTTCTCTGCCACTCTTGAACTACCAGTAAAAAGTGTCATTCGTGGATTTGCCTGTAAATATAATACTCCTTGATGATCCACTATCATATTATAAAAGGAATATGTAGCAACATATAGATATAGATATATTATTCTCACAAAATACAGGAGCTTAAAAGACAACAAGGTCAATATGACTTGAATACATCTTTCAGGAATAATATTATGCTATGCAGAATCCACATCTGAATGCAAAAAGAGGTGACAAACAACCAACCTCTTGCAACAGCTTGTTCATTGTCATTCCATCAGAATTTATGAAGTCTACATCTTCTACAGGTAGACCACATGTATGAAGCAGGCGCAACATTTGCTCCATAACAATGCTCACCTACAACAATTTGAGTCCATGATTAGAATTTACACTGCAGAAAGATTTAAATTTTAAAAGCAAAAAAATTAATATTTCCAAAATCCAACAGAAAAAATTCAAAATAAGAATGCCAAGAGCAGTAGATACAATGGTTTGTACCACAGAAAGGAAATATCAACCAAATCAGAAAATAACACGACAAGAAAAATGCAAAATGGTGAAGAAAAACCAATGCACTGCAATTATTTTCACCACAACTAATTGCCAGCAATATTTCATGCAGTGCAGAAGCTAGCTTTCTTGTATCAATTTTGTATTAAGATGTAATGTCCTAAAAGTCTGCCAAAATCAGAGCTAAAAATTCACCTTGCTATCGACTTTAAGGGTTGGTTTGTTGCCCATATAAAGTGCACCCATCAGTTGAAGTACTGGAATCTCTAACGGAAAATTAAAGGGAGTAATAATTGCCACCTGAAGAACACAATTTCAATTTTGAGATTACACCAAGATGGGAAGATGAATGTTTATGGTGTGGGAAAAAATCTAAATATTCAGTTACTAAACCAAACAATTGAGGAAAAACTGCATGTTATCTCCACATGACATCACTAATCTAAACAAAATTCTGTTCCAAATGAGAAACATCTTTTTTTTCCCTCATTTCTTGAGTAGAAATCGTCTTTTTCAGCCTACTTTTTTGTGCAAGGATAGAAGAAAGCATTAAGCTTATAAAGACTGAGCTCTTGAAAGCAAGAATACTATCGGGTCTTGCCTTCCCAATACGTAGTTAATTGAAACCTCAGACAGTATTCCTTTTACTTTTTTGAAATAAAAGATAATCTTTATTTTACTTAATAACCACAAAGTTATTCCAACCAAGGTTATCAATGTATATTGACTTCTGAATTGACATATTAAACAGTTTTATCATGTTCCACCTTCTTAATACTAAATCAAAGCTAAATCAAAGCCACAAAATTATGATATATTACTGAATTTTAATTTACAAAACTTGCTTTTATTTTTCATTTTTGCAATCTCTTAGAATACTAAATCAGTTTTATCATATTATTGACTTCTGAATTGACATATTAAACAGTTTTATCATGTTCCACCTTCTTAATACTAAATCAAAGCTAAATCAAAGCCACAAAATTATGATATATTACTGAACTTTAATTTACAAAACTTGCTTTTACTTTTCATTTTTGCAATCTCTTAGAATACAATTAAAATAGTTAAATCAACTAGCTTAACCTCAAGGCAATTGATAATTTTGACACAATCAACAAAGTCATCTGTGGCTGAGACAATGGCATAGACTCTCTTATTTGCCCTTTAGAACAGGGTATACCAATTAAAAAAAAAAACAAAGAAAAATCCTTACCGGGCCATATGGCCAACGAAAACCATGACTTTGCTGTCCAAGATGATTACCGGGCACTGCAAAAGACCTTGCCAGGAATCGAACCTGCCGAGGTTTTGAAATGAAGCAAGCACAAATAATAAATCACTAAAGGAATGATATGAACTGTGTAACTTCCTAGGGAAACCATATAAGATAATGTTGGTGAGGTTCAGTTTGTGCGTCCATGTGTATGTATCAGGGTTAAATTCTTCCACTAGAGAAGAAACCAGGCTTCAATGATAGAATTCAGAAGGAATTAAGGGGTAACTACCAATTAAATAAATATCAATTTACATTCTTCCATCATTCCATATCAGAGAATGAAATTGATGCACTTACAGTTGGCCCATTGTACATGGTCCAACCATTGATTCAAGAAGCTCGTAGTCGACTAGAGTTGTGGCTCAATAAGAATGACCCAATTGTTGAAAAAGGCAATAATTTGAAATATAACAAATTACAATCGAATCCAAGTCCCAATAAAGCAGCAGATGTGATTGTGATTTGTTTGGAAAGAAAAGGAAAGCAACACATTTGGCGTGATTTGAGATTAAAGATTGGGATGTATTTTGAATTATTTATTTGTAATTTTTTATTTATTTGTAGATGTTAATTATTGTTATATTTATTTTAGTAAGTTTTATTATTTTTAGACTTTTAGATTTAAAATTTTGAATCAATTTGTAATTAGTCTATAAAAGGGTGCTTAGACCCTTATTCTAAGAGTTGAATTTTGTTATTTGATAAATAGAAATTGAGAACCGGAGGGTCACTCTCTTATGAAATCCTAACTTTCTGTTTAGCCACTTTTCTATGCGCTTTCGGCATCAGAAATACTCCTACTTGGGATTTCATTCATTTGGCACCAACATGTACCTGGTCTCCGCAGAAATTCTCTAGAAACTTCTGTGTCACATAAACTTCCCCAAAAGCCTGCTGGTAACTCTTTGGAGAAACTCTTTGAATTAGCCTTGTAAAGAAATCTGAAACCTAATAGTCATGCAATATAAATTATTTAAAGTTTAATGCAACAGGTGACAATATAAAATAAAGCAATATGCAAAATAAATAAATAAATAAAAATCTTTCTTTAGTTTGAAATACCTTAGGAAGCGATAACATGTGAGCTGCCTTAGTAGATACATCTCCAAGCATAAGATATCTTCAAAAGATTTAGAACAAAACACCACTTTAGACTTCACAAAGATGGCCACAATAAAAATTTAAGAATTGATATCATACCCTAAAGCATATACTTGTAACTAAAATGCCCGAGCCACAGTTGCATTCTTTAAGTAAAAATGAAAGGTGTACGACAAAATAGAAAGTATTTGTTCTCATTCTTATCCTAGGCATCTTCACAATACCGGGGTCCCATGTATTTTAGTTACACCTCTTAGCAGAAGTATGAAACCAACTGGGTTGGAAGTTCATTCAGTAATCCAACCATTGTTTAATCAAGAAATATGGGAAACACACCTGAAAAGGATTAGCACTCCCACTCACACCTTGCAAACCAACCATATGAAGATCAACTCATTTCAAAAGGAAAGTAACTAAATTGTTGTATTATTTTCTATCCAAAAAAATGTTTTATCATTCAACATCAACAGCACCTTTATCCCAAACTAATTAGGGGAAAAATGCTTTATCATTAACCAATAAAAAGGGCCAAAACCTTGGGGTATAGTCTAGGTAATCCACGTATGTCTACATGCTCAGCAAAAGAACCCATGTGGATAACAGTCTCATACAATAGACAACATAAGACATGGAGGTTTATATTGCAGGATGAGTTTCCCATCAATTTTATTTTTTTTACCTAGATGGCAATAATTGATCCAAGGAAAAATAACTTTTTATATGTTAAACGAAATGAAGAAGAGATAAGAAGGATAATCTGCACATACCTCTCTGGTGCCTTAAAAGGATTGTGCACACCATGTTTTGGACAGCCGTACAAGCTTTTCACGAAGGGCTTATAAGTCAAACAGAGAAAATTTTAGTCAAGGTCTCCATCTCAAACCTACTGTTGAATTCAAATAAACTCATCTATAGCCTTCAAGAGGAACATATTTCAAAATAAAATATTATGTTAACAAGATAAATATTTCATTATAGTGATGCACCTGAATGCCTGATTCATCAACTTCCGCAACTTTGATAAATGAGTCTCCATTTAAGGGATCCACAACTGTACTCCAGTTTGAAGATCCTACCCATTTACCCTGCACTGAAATAAAGACAATACATTCATAGTGATGGTCATGGAATCATGTCATAATAAATTTGATTAAAGTCAAATTTATTGACAAACATGTGGTGCAGAAATTTACAATAATAATCAGTATCATTCAGATTTTGATGCATAAAATAAAAAATGAAATTATGGAAAATATGTTTAAGAATCCCTCCTTTTCCATCACGTTCACAATTTCATTTTATAAAATTAATACTTTTAAACATTTAACAAACTGCTGTTGGATTACATAAATACTTGAACAGTAGTTTTGACAACTTGCAGACAAAATCAAGGTGAAATAGAAATAGAAAAAGAACGAAGTAAATTTTAAAGATGGTAACCCTATTCAATCTTTACTGATCAAATTTAACCAAAATATTATGAAATTCATAAGAGTACTAATGCCTATATGTGAAGAACAAAAGGATCGAGGTTGCGGGGCCTACCCAAGTTCAGAACTTCAGCAGGCCTAGAACCTGATATCTCTTCTGCTTCTACTGTGGCAAAGGGTAATGAATGAACACACCTGCAAGATATTGTAAAAATGAATTCAGCGCTCAAAAAGCATAATAAGACTTGTATTAAAAATTGTAGTAAAGAAATAAAGTAATAAACTATTGAAGAAATATATACAATGAATATGACAAGGAAAAGGGCATAAAAATTATTATGAAATACATTCTTAAATCTGTAAGATTTAAACATGTGTTATCACCAGTTGAAGCTAATACATATATCTTTGAAAAAAGAAAAAAAGTAAATTGGAGGAAATCACCAAATGCCTTTTCTTGCATCCCTGTGAGTTGTTTAATTAAACAACTGTGAATTAACACAACACCCGGGCTGCCCTTTCAGTTATGAAAATTGAAGTAACCCAGTTAGTTTCATAAATGTAGTAAATACCAGAGTGGCGAACCAAATGAACCCCCAACAACCACTAAATTGCTGGCATAAACAAACATTTATAACTTTTGTTAGTACAAGAAAAGATTTATTATGATACTAATATCAAAGACCATATATTTTGCTTTAGTGTTCTACACTTGCTAGTTATTAATCACTACTCAGCTAAGGCAATCATTTGCTAAATTGCTTATTCCTTAATTACTTAGGCCCGCCCGTTTGGGTGGACTTTTTTTTTCTCAGAGAACTATTTTTTCACAAAAAAAAAAAAAAATTCACTTTAAGTTTGTTTGAATGTCTGTTTCAAAAAAAGCAGAAGTCATAAAAAAAAAGTCAAAAACCTATTTTTTTAGGTTTTAAAAAAAAAATTAGAAGCTAAAAGTTTAGCTTCTAAAAAAAACATGTCAAAAGTCAAATATTTTTCTCAAAAACAAAATATTTCTATAAAAATATGAATAGTTTTAACTTTTGCAAAAAATACTTCTAAAATAAGGAAGAAATAAAAGTTACTTTTTTTACCGGGGCTCTTTGAGATTTTTTTCTTTTTCTTTTAGCAATTAATCTTTTAAGAGTTTTTTTCACAAACAGTTTGAAAACACAAGCTCTGAAGTCTGTCCCAATGATCATCAACTCCTAAGAATATCATCGATCTAATTATAGAGATACAAAAATACTATTGTTTTTTCTTTTATGTTGTATGATGAAAAACCCTAAGTTGCTCGTCGAACAAATCAAAGTTCCGACGAGCACACATTTCACAGGTAACCGGCGGCTATTTCATCTAGATAACAGAAGTTGAGTATTCGAATCGATCAACCATCAAAACTATTTAACAGTCACTAATTCAACAAGAACCAGCATACAAAGCGACACAATTATTAAAAAATTTATATAAATTAAAATCGTCTTGTCAATTCATATTCCAAAAAAAAAAAAAAAAAATAGAAGAAAATTACCGAGAGAAATTGAAAGAAGCAAAAGCATTGTGGTTGCGCTGAGATGCCGCTACTCCTCTGGTGATAACAAACTTGAACATGATATCTCAGTTGTATGAGGATGTTGAACACTCACTCTGTTGAATTGGGTTTCAAAGATGAGTAGACACTCTCTTTTCCTATTTATAAATAATGAAAAGCTTCCCTTTCAAATAGTTGTGATAGTTTCTGATCATCCTAATCTTCTAGATCTCATAAAACATACACGTGATTCCACGTATCAATGAGTCAGTCGCAGAAAAATATTACTGACTGCGTTAAGGATAGAACAACACGTGGATCCATACTTTGTCTTTTAACATGTTTTTGTTGGTGTCTACATACTTTATTTTTTTTTTTAAATAATTAATTACGACAAAAATTATTTTAAAGTTTAGATCTATTGATTTATAATTGATTTTTTAATAATTAAAGTATAATGAATTTCAAATAAATAGATATTTTGTATTGTATGAAAATATTATTTGAAAAAATTAATAATAGAATTAAAATATATTGAAGAAAAATTATTTAAAAATGTTATATATACTTATTTTGTTGTAAAAATTATACAAATAAAATTATCCCAACTCTTGGAGCATTATTATTATTTTGCATATTTTTATTATATTATAATTTAAATAGATATTTAAAAAATTGATTTATATTCATTTATTATATACTTTTATAGAGTCAATTTTAAATTGTTTTAAAAATTTATTATTAAATTAATTTTAAATTATTTTTTACCATTTTCAGTAAAGAATATAATTATAATTAACTATAAGAATGCATTTGACATTACAGTTTTGAAGTTCTCATAAAAAAAATTAAAAATTTGTGGACTCAGTTATATTGTTTGAGTAAGACCAAGTCAAAGTTTATCAAATCTTAAAGTTTTGAGTGTTCTATTAAAATAGCGAGAAATTAAGGGATAAATTTTGTTAATTATTAATCTACTTAAATTCATAAATGTATTTATCTGAAAAGGGATGATACATGATAGCTTAATTGGAGTTAAAAAAAAAATTCAAAATAATAAATCAAATCTAAACTTAATTTATTTTGCAAGTAACATGAAAATTTGTTTCAAATAATTTATTTAAAATTATAAATCACTCCATTTTGACATTTAGTACTTTTTTACATAAATATTCAATAGATTTATTTTTACAAATAATGTAATTCATATAAATATCTTTACTTTTGAAATCATCAAAGTAAAATAAAATAAATTACTTATTTACAAAAGGATTAATTATCAATTATTATTATTTTTATAATTTAAAATTTAAAGTATCCATTACAAGTTTGATGTTAATCCAATATTAATTCATAATTTAAAATATTTTTACAAATATTACTTCTAATTAGATGATATTGGGGATAAAACAATGAAAGAAAGAAAAGTTTATATTTTATAAATAATATCCACTAGAAATTTGTATATGTTATAAGATCAATTATAAATAAAAATGAAATTAATGAAAGTGTAGAGAGAAAACATAAAGGAAATTATAAGAATACTATTAAATATGAATAGAAAAATAATTCTACTTCAACACACAATAAATATGTGATTATATATCATGAGAAAATAAAGAATCATATAAATAATGAAATATATTCAATATCGTTCAGAAAATAAAGAATCATATAAATAATGAAATATATTCAATATCGTTCATAATATTTTACAACTTTTTGGAGATGTTTGTGTAGGTGGACGTCTATCTAGCATGATGGACCTCATTCGCCTGATGAGCGATAACTTTATTCTGATTTTCAAGGATTAGGATAAGGATAGTGTTGTTTGTGACTGCTTTATCTTTCAAGTATCATATGTGTAACTCTCATGTTATATAATATTATATTATATAATATGAGGGAAAAAAAATTTATTAAAAAAAATTACTCTTATGTTATTGGAAAGTAACTCTCTTTTTATACATCTATCAGATTTTGTGTAACTCAATTTTTATTTTTTTATGTTTTATAAATGAGTGAACCTTACTCATAATTGTGTCTATAGTAAAAGAAAATTACTTATGATATTAATAAAGTTCATATTATAAATATTAAAATGTAAAGATCTTTGCGTCGTAATCGGCACAAAAAGTAAAATACTCGGTATCGATATCGACAAAGCAGATCAAACATGTGTTAAATTACGTGGGCCAAATTCCTCTTATGAATTAGCCCATTACTATTTTGGACTCTGCAATTTCTACTAAAAGAAAAGGCCTATGTTGTCCAACACATGAACCATCCATAAACTAAAATAAGAGGAGACTTGGAGTGAGCCCAAGTTCCAACTATTTTATTTTATTTTTGAGTAGATCCTCTAATAACTTATTTAACATGATATGGTCATATAAAGGAATTATAACTATATAAAAATAAATTAATGGTGATAAGTGAAGAAAAATAAAAAATATTAAATAAACAGTTATAAAATCATCATCATTGATTCACTTTTATATAATTATAATTTCTTAATGTAATATCTAAATGTAAAAGAAATTATGTCTGGCGCTAGTGGCATCATATACTTGTAAAATAATAATAATATTATTATTATTTTAATCGAGGCTGAAAGCTCCGATTTGCATCACAAGGCTTGCGTAATATATATATATATATATATATATATATATATATATATATATATATATAATAATAGGCAGTGGCAGCGCTATGATAATAGGAAAATGGGCGCATGTAGCGCCATGAAAATTGGTTGGCGCAAGTAGCATCGTAATAGCGTCAGTAGCGCCATATTTATAAGATAAAAATAGTAGGGTCGTGTGCGTCAAAATATATATATATATATACTCCGTGACGAGAGAAAAAAAAGGAAACAGAGAAGAGAGAAAGGAAAGCAGTGAGAGAGAAAGAAAAGAAACCAAGAAAAAATTAAAGAAAGAAGAAAAGAGAGGAAGAAGGAAAAAAGGAAGGAAGAAGGAAAAAAGGAAGGAAGAATGGAGAAAGAAAAAGACAGTAGGGGAAATAAAAGAGGAATATAATATTGGGAGAGAACCTCATTCTCCTATTTTCATTCTTGTTCATCTATTTTATATTTAAAGTTTGTATTTCTAAAGTTATTTTTTTAAAAGTTGTGAAGGTGTCATTACTCTGACAAACTATTTTCTTATGAATTTCTTCTACTCTTTTGGTTTATTTTCTATCTTTGGTTCTGTGGATTTGATGAATTTATTCATATTAGTTATGAGAATGATCTTGAACCAAAACTATAGAACTAAGGAATTCCTTTGGTACCAAATGAATATTAACAGAACATGTAATCTTTAACTGAATGATTTGATGTGAACTGACCCACAAAGGTTTGGGATCAGACGGTAAGAAGGCAAGGAACACCTTACTTGGCTTGAACTCTGCAAAATAGAACCTTTCACATGCAGAGAACCACAAAGGTTTGGGCTTTAGTAGTTTTAGTTAAAAACTACACGTTCTTTTCTATGTTTGTATGCAGGAATGACTTAAGTAGTTTTAATTAAAAGTTATATATCATGTTCTATGTTTATTATTACAGTTATTATTTTCTTATTATAAACATATTTTGAGAGAATGATATTTTTCGCTAAAGCGACTAGACTAATTATAGTTTGAAAATCCCAATATTTTGTGCGCTTGTGTTTATAAACCTCAGTATGTGTAGCTTTGAAGTAGGATGAAGCACCATGATTAAAGACTTTGAAGACTTTACGGAGTTCAAAGTGATTTTGTGTACCTGTAAAGTGACTTTACTTTTCTATCCCGATAGAGTAGGAACATTTTCTTTCAGTTTAGATGATAATGTAATCTAGTTTATTACAGATGTACTAGTAAACTTGACTTATTATTTAATGTATAATTAAATTTTAAGTGTGTATCTTTTATTCATGCTACCTTGGAATCTCATATTCTTTATTATTTTACAATTCTCATTCTTTTATTTGAAATGAGATTTAAGAAGTAATGTGATATTTTCTATGTTAGCTAGATAATGTTACACGCACATGACCATATCATGTTAAATAAAAGGAAAATTTCATAAAGACACCCTCTACTTAAGTGGTCTTTCAAAAAAACCACCTTACACTTTGAATTAAAGCAATTAACCCCCTTATACTATTTTATTATAACAATTTACCATATTTGTTAATTTTAAAACAAAATTACCCTCGTCTTCAACCTTCTATATTCTTGGGGATTGCACATAGTTTCTGACAATCACTCGCTACTGCCATTGATAACAATACTGGCCACGTCCTCCATACCAACCCAAACACCATTATTATTAAAAAATTCATGCTCGTTGAATTTTTTAAAAAAGGGTGAAAAACTATTTATTTTTTTCTTCACAATTACTTTCTTAGGTTACACATAGAGTGACAAAATCAGGTCATGTAACCAACAACATCTGTTTTATATCCTTGAAGCTACGTCTGTTGTGGTACAAGTAGAAGTTCTTCCTAATATTTAGAACTCGTTTTTGGAAGACCCATTACATAAAAATGTTATCTTTTGCAACAATCATTCTGCTTTCTTCATTATCATTAACACGGAAGTCAAATTCAACCTCAGACATAGACATAAACATAGATGAATCATGGCAGCTTCCATTCACCATGACAACCTCAGAGTGCTCGAATGGGACAAGGTTTTTCACATGGTATCAGAGCCTCACCGTCCCCCGTTTTAAAAAAGTGGAATTAAAATAAAAAAAAAGCACAAAAAAGGTAAACCAAAAATGGGCCTGTGCAATCCACGCTTCTCGCCCAAAGGGCTCTTGCGTGAGGGGGCGTGTTGAGATATATAGTCTCACATTGATTGTGTGGGCAACTAATGTGGCCTTTATAAGGCATTGCGCACTTTCACCCTTTGAGCTAGCTTTTGGGGTGATGTATGTGTATCCCAAGGTTCTTCACAAATTGGGACAAGCTTTGCAATTTGGTCATGTCCTTTGCCACCACTTCCTTGGTACGACGGACGTGGCCACTAGCCAGTATTGTCATCAACGGCGGCAGCAGCGAGTGATTATCAAAAATTATATGCAATCCCCAAGAATCTAAAAGGTTTAAAACGAGGGTAATTTTGTCTTAAAATTAATCAATATGTTAAATTGTTATAATAAAAGAGTATAAGGGGGTTAATTTCTTTAATTCAAAGTGTAAGGTGAT